TTATCCAACGTACTAATAGCAAACAGAAAATACAAAAATTAAAACAAATTTAAAGGCTAGTTGGTTTGATCTTTTAGAACTATGATTTTATTACCTGATTTGCAAAGAAGTTTACAACAGTTAGAAGGGAGGGGTGTTGATTAGGCCCCGGCTTTTCGAAGTCCGCTGGATAAATCTCCATCCGGTGGATGTCGTAGTGCGTTTTGCTAACACTCGTCCGCTGGACAGAGAATTATCCAGTGGAAAGGGTTATCTGCTCTTTGAATAATTAGGCCCAGATCGTCGGAGTTGAGGGGTAGTATTCATAGAACACATTTCAATTTACTCTATCATTTTACGGCAGTATTGTATTTTCAATATTTAGAGGTGATGGTAGAGCTACACTTTTGCGTAAACCACTCAATTTCCCTTTGTATTTTAAGAATGCAGCTACTTAGGGAAAAACTAAAGAGAAGAGAAAGTGATGCATCATTTTATCCAGATGAAGAGGAGGAAGACGAGAAAGATGAAGGAGAAGAAGAGTTAGAGGAATACGAGAAAGATGCTCCCTTCCCTATGGTGAGGTTTTAGTTGTCTTTTCAAGGCTCTCTTGGTCTAAAACAAGGCTAAAGAGGAAAAACCGCTTATTACATCATTAGTTGCCGATTATGGAAAAATTTATTGAAACCCCTGTAATCAACTAATACCAAGTTTTGAAAATGTCTTCACGGCTATTCTGTTTGTTGGTGTAGCATGATCAATATGTGCGTCACAGAATCATTTAATATTTCTGACAGCATGATAATATTATACTGTGTTCTAATGACATTAGACTACCACCTCTCTTAAATTGAGGATGGAAGCTTAGGGCACCCGAGGGCTTCCTCTATGTCTCGACTGCCTTCAGATAGAATACTCTCCCCCCCTCCCCTCCCCCTTAAGCTGCCAAATCCCTGCAACCCAGCTAGGAGCCCTTTGAGGCTCTCGAAGGAAAACTAGTTGTGTGGAAGGACTGAAAAAGCACAAAGTTGGAGAGGGATGGGATAGCGCTCTAAATAAAGTTTACCAACCACTCAGGACTGAAAAACAACCGCAACAAAAACTGTTGTTGAATATTGAAATCCAACTGCAACGTTGTCGTTATGTGATCTTGCACGTGTGACAGTTATCGCCTGGTGGTTAAGTTTTTTGAATTGTTATTCAACTTGATATAGGCTCACTGTAACAGATTTACCTGAGATAGAATTATTACTTGACTCTTTCAGGAGCACGTGTTGGATGAAGTCCAAGTTCAATTTGAAGAGTTATCGCTTCGCATGGGCAACTTAATGGGTTCAGAAGTGTTCGACAATAGCGAACGTTTTAAAGATGACTTCCTGTCAGGCACAGATAGCGATGAAGATGTGGAGTATCTTTACCAAGCAGAGCCACGACCCGTTCCGTCTGCGATCAGCGGCAGTGGATATGAAAGTGACCATAGCAACATGTCCGCAGCCAGGTGGAATTTGTCGAGTTCCAGTTGTTATGATTTAGCGGATTGTCATGGCCCAAATGAACCAAGGTCTGGACTGGCAAGGGGAACTAGTGCCATTCCGGTAATGTTTACTTCGGGTGGATGTAAAGCTAGTCCCAGCCTACGGAAAATCACTGCTTATCCCGAAGAGGAAACATCTAGGTTTCAAGGCAACAGTAACCCTTCTTGTTCAAGCAGCTATGATATGTGCAGAAGCAATCCGTCTTTTACTTTACGTGACGATGGTCTTCGTGAAGGTGCTCTGCTTAATACAAGGTTGCGTGATGGTGTGTTACGTGGCGGTTTCTTATTTGACGGCGTGTGGCATGTTGGTGGCTTGCATGACTCTTCCTCGCGGGGCAACGATCCTCGTGATAGACCAGATGTTGAGAGTGCAGCACAGTCAGACGGGGCTTTCAGTCGAGATCAATCGTTCTACTCAACTCATGTCGTGCGCCCTGAAACTGAACCCATTATGCCCAAGAACGTGTATTCCATGGCACGCACCCATGGAAGACGTTGCCGTGAGGCGCTGTCTCTTCATCCGTGCGCCGACGTTGATTGCAGCACGACAGAGGTAGCTACTAGCAGCGCCTCTGAACTAGAAATGGGTAGGAAAGACAAGAAGTCTCGACGCCGCAAGAGTAAAGCCCTTTTCAGAAGCTCTGCAGTGTATCCTGGTGAGGAGGGGTTGTCGTTGGGCCCAAATCCACCCGTCCGAGGGCGGGAAGCTCATTCGACAGACTCCCCGCATCTAAGGACCAAATCACCTGTGCATGCCGCTTGGGGCTTAGCTCCGTCAGCTTCTGAACGGGGTTTCGTAAAGAGCCCAGCTTCTCACGCTTATGAAGACTCTAGGCTCCACGCAGCTGCACAGATCCTTGTGCCGTCATCACCAGAACGAGGTTTTGTTGCAGACCCGTGCCATGAGGCCCTAGAAGACTCAGATTCAATAATATCTGCTAGGGAACTGGACTCGACTGCTTCCCCAGACCCTTACGTTCCAGAGGGGCCACTGAAAGGAATTTTAGGTGATATAAGTATGAACAGACCACTTGGTACCGAAATATTTCAAGACGATTCACCGTCGCTTTCCACAGCAGGCGAGAAATACAAAATTAGATAAGGATATATCAATTATATATAAAGTTTTATAAACACTTTAGATGGACTTCGTCATGTGCTTCACCTCGCACTCTGACTTTTAAGGTAGTAACGAGTCTCTTATTGCCTTTTTGTATGGCTAAAGGGGCATGCCCAGGAGATTCTAAAGGGAGGGGGGGGGAATGTGGGATAGTTGAAGGAATCCAAAATAATTTTTCGGTTTTTTTTTTTTTTGTTTTTTTTTTGACAAAAACAAAACAAAAAAACTCCAGAGTCTCAATAAGTTAATATTTCAAGACAGGTAATTTCTTATTGCTTCAAGTTGAGCATAAATATGTAATGCTGTCTTTGCAAGACGTCTACTTTTGGTGTCAGACGGGGAGAAAAAAGGAAACCCACACGAGTGAAACCACCCCCCCCTCCACCCTTATCCCACCCTTATCCCACCCTTATCCCACCCTTATCCCACCCCGACCCTCTCTCTGGAGCGCCACTAGGCTATTGTTCTCGAAAACGTGAATACCGCGCTTCTTTCTCTACGCATGAATCCCTTTAATCCGATATGAACAAAGGTGCTGAAGATATTTTATTTATTTTAGTCAGAACTCTGCAGAAAAGATACTTTAGGAGAACAAAATAATGTGCATGGTTAACTTTTAATTCGAAACTGGTTCCTCATATTCACTCTGTACAAAGAAAATTTTTTTTTTCAACTGGAACTTTGATGGTGTTGTATAAGCATCGTCACCATATTTTCCCTGCTTCTTAGAAGTTTTCACACCTTAAAATCAGTAGGCATATTCTCCATACTGTTCTCTATACATTTTCTAAGGTGCTGATAAGGAGAATTTGTTTAACAATCAAGAGTTTCTCTAGTTACTGATCATTTCCTTAATTCTTCTGACCTTCATGTGTGATTCAGGGGTGTTATTGTAAGGAGAAATTATATGCTAGTCACTTAGTGGTCAGAGGGTTAAACAGGCTAAGAAAATGTCAGGTTGGACTGTTTTCGTTATATTCAGAGTTTTATCATTCATACAATATTAATATAAAGTTAATGCTGATACAAAAGTATATTTTTATACATTTCAATTTTATATTCTCCATAATAATATAAAACAAAGATATTCTATTTTTCTACGCGATTGTCAAGTAACAGATCATGTGTAGGCGAAGCCAAAATATGGTAAGGAAAAGTGGCATTCGAGATGCTGCTGTTCTTACTGTCAAAAGTATATTTTCATACATTAGGGTATTTTGAAATAGATGGAAGTCTATTACATATTTGTACCACATATAGAGTATAGCCAGTAAATAAATATTAAGTTTAAAGATTATGTTTGCACAAGCTCTATTGATCGAAGGGTTCGGTGAACTCAATTTTCGGCCTCATCTCGACTGAAGTGATTAATAGGATTGCAGCTAGGCCTGACCGATTGTGCTGAAAGAATGCTGGAAAGTTGCTTACTGGATAAAAAGTTGCCTACAATCTAAAAAGTTGCTATCGAAATTTCAAAACTTGCTACCTATATTCCTCAATATTTTTATGTAAACGCAAATTAAAAGCTTTATTTTTCTTCCTTCGCAATCATTTCTAACATCAGTCAAGAAAAACAACTTAAACAGAACTTCTCACCATCCACTCCGTTTATGACAAAGGAACAAAGACGGCCTTTTTGTGCATCTTATTTAGCGATTATCCGCTTCAATATTAGTCAAAGATCGCAATGGGCCTGCAAAACGTTGTCAAGTGTCAGGTAATGCTCAAAAGGTGGATAAAGATTCAAGAAATTGGAATGAATGGAAGTTTTCTACGCAATCTTTGTCTTTACATGCTTGAAATGCGCTCTAAACCTACATTTTGCTCAAAAATTGCTCAGAAAGTGAAAATTTCACGAGGTTGCTAGAACTACATGAAGTTGCTGCAAGCGCCAAACGTTGTCGAGCACAAACCGGGTAAGCCTAATTGCAACTAGAAACGTTGACAGAAGCGCGGGTCTCAAATTACGACGTTACGCCAGAGAACTACTCACTGACCTTGAAATGAATTTGCCATTTTGATTCTTTAGAAAGGAGAAATTAGATGCTAGTTACTCTTTGGGGTCAGAAAATGTGAAGCAGGAGGGGATAGTTGTGATTTGAATCTCTACAATTGGAAGATCAATTCAAGAACGAGTGATATTCTTAATAACGAGCGACTCCTAAAGGCAGTGCAATACCAACAATACTTATCCTCGATAAACGTACTTAAGCCCACTAGAGTCTATATCTTAGCTCACCACTGAGCCGAACTCACAGTTTCCTCCAAGGTTTCTAGAACTCAGTAATCTTCCACTGCAGCTCTCTCTCACGGTGTAGCTTTCTAAACAGTCGGTCAGTCCCGACAACAACAACAACAACTGCAACATAAATGAGTCCTTATATACATTCACAAAGTGTTCTAGAACATCCCAGAAGCTTACAAAAGAACTATTTAATTAGTACTACGTAATAACTGCACGACTTGAAATGTTCTAAAAAGTTTTAGGGTACGCATGTCAGCATGACTAAGCAGTCTGGGTAAATTTACAACAACAATTACTCATAACAAACGGCTTGAAAAATCAAGCAATAACTCCTTTGATTTAAAAATCACGAGATCTGAGCAGCAATATTCTCCCCTTGAGCGATTATCATTTTTCACTTGACACTTTGCACCCTAACATCAGTACCCATTTTCTTCAAGCCCTTCTTTGTACAATTCCTTAAGTACTGACAAGGGTTTTTTTTTAACAATCAAAGCTTCTCAGGTTGGCGATCGTATCCTTTAATCTCACGATCTTAATGAACGATTCAACATTATTACCCTAATCAGAAATTAGATGTTCGTCACTCGCAGAGGTTAAAGGTTATGAGAACTTACTCTTCTATCAAAATAACAGCCGCTAGTTTTGACACCTCACCATCACTATGAACTATTGTTTTCTAAGCAGTACGTGGATATTGTTAAAAGAGCTGACCTGTAAATAGCTTTTAAGAAAGTAAGGATTTATAGAGAATCCTCAGTGATCAGTTTAAAAACGATCAATACAAAAGTTAAAACGATGTTCGCTATCACAAATGATCCGGTGGACTTTGGATTCGGATCAGGAAAGCCATTATCCGCAATAAGTTTTTTGAAGAAACCAACCGATTTCTTAGGGACTCGAGTCAAATTCGCGTCGTTTTCGAAGTCGATGAAATGCAGGCCGTATGGGGTGGTGTAGGCATTTTGCCATTCAAAGTTATCCATCAGTGTCCATGCCATGTATCCTTTCATATTCACTCCGTCATCAATGATCGCTTTTAACATCTCATTGGTGTATCTGCAATAAACATAGTTTTAAGCCATATTAATTTCATTTGTGCGTGATTGCTTACAACACGTCATCTGACGGGCAATCAGCCCGTCAGATGACATTTTACAAAAACGTCGTAGCCCCTTAAAACTCACTGTTGCCAGTGGTAAGAAGGTGAATCAATGACTAATAATTTTTTTAGGTTATTAGAAGCTTGGTATTTAGTAGCGGAGTACTCAGTTACGTTCAACATTTTAAATGGATGCCAGTTCACTAAACCCTTCACCCTATCATGCACAAAATCTCATTTGCATTTCTCCTTACTATTTGCCATACAATTTGCACGATGTAAGTTTGGAGAATTTGGTATTAGGTCAACTAATAGTCCTCTAATTGATATTTTCCTTTATTCTCATCACATGTCTGCTTGATATTGTATTGAGATTGTAAGGAGAAATTCTGTCTTGGTCACTCATGGAAGTTAAAGGGTTGAGGCTGTCACCTCCCTCTCCCCTCTCTTCCCTCGAAGGACAGGCTCACGGAGTCCATGGTGTTCCTCTCGTAGATAAATTCTTCTTTGATACACTTCTTGTGCTTTATTTCTGTTTGTATTTGTTTGTGTTTAGTTTGTTTGTTTGTTTTTTCGGTAAAAGGTGAATTGATTCATAAAATGTACTACTTTGAAACAACAAGAAAAGTTGTCAGGTAGAAGGGAAACTCCGTGACATGTGCTGTTCGTACCTCCTGTGATAATCCACTCTGAAAGTGTCGTTCAACCGATTTTGGCCGGTTTTGCTGGCTTCACCAGGAGGTGCTACTCCGTTCTCAGTAACTATAATGGTTGGATTATTGTAGTTATCCTTGATGTACTTCAGCAGCCTGCGGAATCCAAAGGGAGCTACATGACCATTGTACCAGTCAGGCCACGCGGGATCACCGCTCTTCGTGAACGATTCGTCGCCGTTAATTGACAGCTCGTCGCCACTGGGTTTGTCTGCCACTTTATCAGTGGAATAGTGGTTTAGTCCAAACAAATCGTAGCTTCCTTTTACGATGTTTTTCTCCTCCTCTGTGAAGCTGGGCAGACGACTAGGAATCCCAGCAGCCGCGCTGCGATTTCCCACGATGTCTTTAACGACATCCGGGTAATCTCCGTTTACAAATATGGGATGAGCGAAGATGCCGAGATGAAATTGCATGTAACGGTCAGCGGCGTTCTTGTCTCGGACAGAGTCAGTCTTGGGAACTGCCCAACCAGAACTCAAGGAAAGTGTCACTTTTCCGCCCTGTTGTGCTTGATAATTCTTCTTATAGGTTCGATAAACTGTAGCGTGGCCAAGAATTTGATTATGAGCTGTGCCATACCGAAGAATCGATAACTTGGTTTTATTCTTAATGTTGCCATACATGTACAGAGGATGACGTAACATGACGATCGCGGGCTCATTTAGCGTGATCCAGTACTTGACTTGGTCGCCGAATGTCTCGAAGCAAAATCGTGCGTAGTCGTGAAAGTAGTCAATCATGCTTCGATTGGTCCAGCCGCCGATCGCTCGAAAGACTTCCGGCAGATCCCAGTGGTACAAAGTCACAAGCGGCTCGATTTTGTTTCGGCTTAGTTCTGCAATGAGTCTTTTATAATACTCAACTCCGGCGTTGTTTACATAATCAGTTGTTCCGTTGGGAAGCACACGACTCCATGCAATAGAAAAGCGATACGCTTTGGCTCCGTAGTCTTTCAATATCTCGACATCTTCCTTGTACTTGTGGTAGCTGTCGCAAGCCACGTCTCCGGTCTTGTTGTGGAACAAGGCAGGCACAGTGTGGGTGATGATGTCATATATGCTGGGTCCTTTTCCATCTTCATTCCAGGCGCCCTCTATTTGATATGCAGCAGTGGCAGCGCCCCACAAAAACCCATCAGGGAATTTGCCGTATTTGAAGTCGTGGTCAAAGGCTCGAGAACCGTCGAAAGTCAGAATGAAGAACACAAGGCAAACGAGAGCCTTCATATTGTCAATAACTCAGATTTTCTCGCATGAAACGTAACAAATTGCTGTGCGTCACTCGAGCAAAACTCAATTCGATTAGCGACAGCTGCCAAACAACACGAATAGGCGAGGGCCTGGGCGCTAAAAACTACAACCCTCTTCAAACTTAAGGAAGCATTGGATGGGGAATTGAGACAAAATTCAAGGGACTAGTAGGTTGGCAAATTCCAATTTTTGCAATCCCCATACTTTGAATTTACTGGTTCACAGCGTTAGAAATATTGATATTAGTTAAATCGCAAACAGAAGTTGGTAAAAAGGCGTTCAAATAGCGGCTGGAAGACACAAGTTGGGCATGGCAGCTCGGTATATTTGGCGCGAGTATATTTTTTACGGTTCATGGACTGCGTAAATGTCTAACTCGCGTGTCATTACTGAAGGGTCAAACCATCTCTTACCGACAGACAAGCGCGTAGACTTCATATCCAGAACCTTTTAGCTTTCATTTTTGCAGGTTATGTGCACATTTAACACATAAGGTATTTCAGCAATGACCTTTGAATAAAGCCCTGCAGTCACTCGCATAGCACGCTTCATTTGGTGTTTCTGTCACCAGCCAAAATTGTTTTTGTTCTAAATTATCTTTTGCAAAAAAGGTCAGGTTCCTTGACATGAAAGAAATAACTTGTGTTTATTTTGGTGACTCAAAGATCATGTGCTTAGTCACGCCTAGCATTTTATTTCAGTGCTGTTATTTATAACCTTTTCGGAGTGGTAGACTGATTATTGATTAAAGAAAGGTCTTACATTTCCGGTCTCGCCCAACATTTTATTTTAGTGGTATAAATAGTTTAAGCATCAACCTTTTGAAAATAATAGACTTATCAATAAAAGTACATTTTTGCATGCTCAGTCGCGCCCAGAATTCTATTTCAGTGCTGTTATTTATTAACTTTCTGATATAATAGACTGATCGCTGATGAAAGTACAGTTTTTTTACAGGCCTAGTCATAGTCATTGTATCGTTCTGGTTTAAAAAAAAATTTTCATCAATAACATCCAATTCATTAATTCATGAACATTTGATGTATACATAGATACAGCACCTCAAAAACTACTTCTCTGCAGATGAAAAACTTATGTGCAAACATCACAACTTCCATAGTGTTAAACATAAGACACACCGACAACGAATCTTTTGAAATGCTACCAAGTTGATAAAGAAGTTAAGAGGACTGAGGTTTGAATACTCACTAATCTCGACTGAAATAATCTTTTTCGCTCAGCTGCAAGAGTATTTGATAGCGAAATGGAGAGATCTGAGGTTTGAATACTCACTAAGGTCGACTTAGACACTATTTTTTGCTTAGCTACAAGAGCATTTAATAGCAAAATTACGAGATCTGAGGGTTGAATACTCACTAGGGTCTACTGGAATGCTCCTTTTCGTTCAGCTGCAAGAGCATTTGCAAGAGCTTTTCGTTCAGCTGCAAGAGCATTTGATAGCGAAATTGAGAGATCTTAGGTTTGAATCTCCTCTAAGGTCGACTGGGAAACTTTATTCTTCGCCCAGTTGTTGGAGCATTTGCAGGTTAAATTGCAACATCTGAGGTTTCAATCCTCAGTTAGGTTGACCTAAGTACGTCTTTACACTTGTAGACTATATTAATATACAAGTATTAACTGGAGCTGCCTATCGCCTAAGTTAGGCACGATCCAATTTACCGGCTAGGAATCAAATTTTCCGAAAAGAGTAAATTGGATTGTAATAAAGCGCTCAGCCCTCTCTGAAAAAAGAGGAGAACTTGGAGTTAAAAGATAAAATTTAAAAAACTCACCTACTCTAGCCGTTCTTATCCACAAAAATTTTAAATCCTAAAAACCCCTTTATAGAAATAAATTTTTTACAATAACATTTCTGAAGGGTTCTTTAGAAAAACTCCACAATAAAAACAATTCGAGAGAAAAGAGAAGTGCGTTTCAGCCCAGGAAAAGTTTTATTTTAATTGGTTAAGAGCGCCAAAGATCAATTCTATTCAGATGTTTCTTTTCGGCGTTCAATATTGGACTTAAATGGCTATAAATCTCCAATTGCATTTTTCCCGTTTTCTCCAGTAATAATAATTTCAGGTTTGCCGCTTAAGTACTGTTTTACTCCATTAATTACCAGTTTAAATCTGAAATTTAGTTCCAGCTTGATAACATTTTCGCTACACCCCCAGAGCAATAAGTATTTTGACACAAAGCTAAATTGTACACACTAAAATTAATTGGTGTATTGTATGCCGGCTCTTCTTCCTTTGACAGTTAAGCAGCTCTCCCCTTATGTGTTTGATTCCAATAAAATAATGATTGCTCCCATATCACCTGTTAATGACACACTCAAGAAGCAAACATAACATTAAGCTTGGTACGGAAAAACAACAACAATAGCATGAACGGTAACAATAAGGTTACCTTTTCCATCGCATGATACATATCTAGTGAGTCTGAGGCACAAACTAGACAGTCACAGTTAAAAATTCAAAACTGCTCAGATCGGCTAAGCTGCGCACGGCATTCGAAAAAATGGTTGGAGTTTTTGCCGCACAAAGAGGCGCGAAATATTTGCCTACACTTGCTAACGTGAATGCCTACTTCGTCAGTTATTACTTTCTCGCGCTCCTTATTTATATGTGTGGTGGCTAAGGGAAAATGTTTGTTTCTCTCTTATTTTGGCCGCACAACACGCCTTTTTATTAAAAATTTTAATTAAATGTGTCTGTAATATGAGCTGCATGCGTGAAAACTGCCGATCCACGATCTTGAGGAAAAAAATCACTTAGTGAAAGCAGGAGGGAAGTGGGTTTTACTTAATGTTTGATTAAAAGCCTTGGTAAAGATTCTACAGAGATGTGTGCGCAAAACGGGAACTAATATCAACAACAAAACAAGGCAAAAAAAGGCGAGAAACTGAAAACTGTTTCCACCCCTTACAAGTGAGTCACTAAAGCCTTATTCAGATAAACTTGTACTTGAAATCAGTGTACAGTAACTTTGACTTTTTTATTCCTCGGTCAGCTTTTTCATCCCAGAAACTAGGACTCGCCTGAAACTCACTCAGAATTATCAGTTTGTATTAAGCCATTCGTAAGGGTGCGCGCGTCACATATGCTTTCTATCTGCATAACTATAAGCACCCTGAGCTCTGTAAAGGAGTCAGTTACGGTTAGAACCGTATAAGGCAGTTTCAAACATGACCAGAAATGTTAGGATTTGTGGGATCGAATCTCGTTGGTTTTTTCACGAAGGTTATTACACGAAAAATTATCTAGAACGAAGCCCTAGATGATTTTCTTAATGTTTTACGTTTCCTATTTTGTCCTTCCTGTATTTTCTCTACTTTCGCAGTTTTCCTTTCCGTGTATTATCTATTTTGCAAAAATTTAATTTTGTCCTTCATGTGTTTTCACTCATAAGCTCATTCTTTTTTAGTGTAAGCCTAGTGGAGTGAGGAGTGGGGTACAGAAGGGAAATTTGAGAATCGATGAAGGTTTGCCGGCTGTGGCCTACAACCGTCTTCAGTCGTCCCTTACTTTTAATGGCGGAGCTCGCAGATGCAGGCCAGCACTACCACGACCTCCAAGATGATAGGAGGGAAGGAGAGAAAGACCTTTCTCATTCCCATCTTCCTCCACGCGCATCTCACGCGCACTTCGATCGTTGATATTTATGAGTAGATAAACTACTGGGTAAAAGTTATTTACAATCCTAAATCTGGGGGATCCAAAATCTGTTTATTGCGTCACCCTCCTAAGTACAAAAATTTGACAAATGTTGCGGTTTATCAATCTCATCTAGTCACATCTAGCATTTTTGAACATAATTTTTAGATTTTATTAGAAAATTGTTTTAGACAGAGGATATGACATTCTTAGCTATTCTTGCAACTGCATAAGGCAATTTTTATGCACTTGGATCCTGACTATTGCAATTTTTATTCTTTCCTCAGTGCCCCAGTCATGCAGGTTAAGGTTGTGTGGATCAATTGAAATCAAAGACTTGCTGGATAGTTTTTAGCCAAATTTGATAGTATTTATTTTGATTTTATTGCAAAATTCATAAATGATACACTTTTCAGACAAGTACCTACTAACTTTGCATAACAACTCAATGTGCAAAAAAGTAATTTTCTTCTATTAAATTGTTAAATCATGGTCAAAGTTCATCATGTTCAGTTTCTGCAGGCTCATTGTCACTCTCAGTTTCATCGTCACTATCATCATACTCGTCATCATCACCAATGCATAAACCTGCAAGAAAATTAAGCATTATAACATAGCTGGTAAATTTGTCTAATCAAATTCAATTGCGTGAGTGTGCTTCATATTCCTATTGTGAACGCTCATAACGTCAGTAAACAAATCCCTTGAGAAAAAAATTTTCCTTCGGGTTGAAAATGTTATAAAACAATTGGTTCATAAGTCAGCTGCGTGTTCATCAAGATATGAAGCACTTGGGAAGTTTGGAGAGCACTCAAGAAGCTAGAGTTGCTCTTGCCTACGCCTTGCGTAACTCTTACGCATCTTTCAAGCTCTTCAAACTTCCCGCGTGCTTCATATCTCAATGAATGCACACTGACATATGAACCAACTGTTAATTTTGACCTAGCCTTTACTAACAATTACTAGGATTACCTATTAATAATAAATCTGTACCTGTTCCTTACAAAATAATGAATTGCAATGCCAGTTAAATTTATGGCACAACTGAATTGAAAACTGACCAAATTCATGAAATGACCACAGACAGAAGCAGTATGAATGTGTAAAGAGAATAATAAAAGTCATATTGCTTACCTGTGGTCGTGCGGCACATATATTTCTTTGGATCCTTGCGCTCTTTCTTGAAGGATGCTATAATATCATCATCATAGTCCTCTATAATACTCTCACACTGGAAAAGAAATCATATAGACTACATATCATTCTGTTTCATATGCACAATCAAAAGAGCTATTAATTGTGGAAAAAAATACATGTATAATGTGAGCTGATACATAAAGAAGCTCAATCCAAGTGGTCCATCCAGCTGGAGCTTATTGTGGTTTCCATATCATGAAGGTCCTGGGTTGTGAGAAGCAGTGTAAAGAGTACAACACAATGACCCATCCAGACCTGCACCTCTTAACCCAGAGTCCAATATGCTCAGACCATGAGACAACCACATCTCCCACAATAAATTAAAAAAAAGATGGTAAATATCATGCTGTATCCCACATAATGAAGGGTGTTATTCACCTTGTCAAGAGCAGAAGGCAAAGGGGAATTTTGAGTCCCTTAGCAAGATTAACACCTCAGACTTTTGGATTCCACACTCTAATGCTCAATCACTGAGCTACAGAGAACCCCATGATAGACCAGGCTATTGCCAGGTTTATATGTAACACACCCAGCAAACTGCAAGAATCAATCCATTTATTATTTGACCTATTATTTTACCTTGTGCATATTTTTATTGAAAAACTATAGTAGACAAAAAGCCTTGGTAATCTAGCCTAGAGTGAAATATCCACTGCATGTAGCATGGGAAAGATCTGGTTGGCAGAATTGGGTCATTCAGCAGGCATTTGTGTAAGTTTAATTGTTCATTCTTTGTCACAAGGTAATAAGAACAGGTGTAACTTACTGCATGTTTGAGCTTCTGAGCTATGTCACCACTGATTGCCACATTACTGAGTGTGACTGCCTCACCAGATCGCGACGAGGTTCTGATGTATGATTTCTTTCCAGTGTTGGGATCTGTCGACTCAGCGTACGAATTCATTTTTTCACACATATTATCAAGCTGTTCTATCAGATGAGTCTCTGATCTTGCATATTGAATCTGGATAGTCAAAAATACACATATATACCATGAGATATATGTGGCTCACATTAGCCTGTCCCAGGAATATCAGTTGTAACTTTGGCACAAGTGGAAGTAAATTGAAAAAAATATATTTCTTGTTGCACTGCACAAAAATCCTTTTTCCCCATCCTACAATGTTCCACATTTAGGCCATAAAGGTCTTGAACAAGCTAGGGTTATCAGCTAGTGAGATTTCAAACTAGCATACCCTGTTATATAAAGTCAGCAGTACATGATAAAAAAAAAAAAATTGAACTTTACCTTTTTGGTATTTTGGTTACCTCTTGGATCCACTCTGAAACTCTCCACCTAGAATCATTCAGATGATAATAGTCTGTGATTTATCCCAAAAAACATGCCAGGCACTGTAAACAGTTTCTCATATACAGTGTATTCAACCATAATTCCAAAAAGATGGCAGTAATATCATAGGTGTCTGCATGCATATGGGTTGAAATTTATCGTTCTTGAAAATAAAATAAATACCCTCTAGCTTCATTTTTTAGAAAATGATTCAATACCCTACCTCTAAAGTCTTTCTGGGATCAACTTGAGAAATTTCCCACTGAAGCTCATCCGCAATGACACGGCATACTATCAGAAGAAATGTTGATAACAATATGTCATTTAATCCTCTTAAATAAAAGTAACTGCAACCCTTTAACTCCCATGAGTGACCAGGACAGAATTTCTCCTTACAATATCAAGCAGACAAATGATAAGAATAAAGAAAAATATTAATTAGGAGATTATTATTTGATCCAATACTAAATTCTCCAAACTAAGATCACAAGAACAAGCAGACACTACGGTACATGTCAATAATTAGAGAAAGACTTAAACTAATGTAAGATCTTTTCAGCTATATTTTCTGTATCACAGCATTCTTAGTGACAAAGAGCCTTGCCTTAAGAAGTGATAAATTCAAAACTTCTCCTTACCATAACAACACACTGTCAAGCAGATAGGTAAAGTGAATGCTAAAGTTTCTGCACAGCCCCAAACTATTGTAAAACAAATCTGTTTTCCCAGTGGAAATGTATTGTTTTTGTCATTGTTTTCTCTGTTCAAGAACTGAATGCATAATGTAGTATGGGGCTGTGCGGGAACTTTACCAAGTGAATTATGTGTATTAAACATGGGAAATATCTCTCAGATGTAACAAACAATTCTCACAACTAACTAAAAGTTAACATATAGTCATGAGTTGGGAGAGTTGATGCTCTGATCTAGAAGGTAAAGGGATACATTTTCTGAAACTTACCACCACAGTATAGCTCTTTATCCTTAGCACCGAGTGCTTCATTCACAAAAGTTGTCACAAAAAGTACTACAAGACAAAGTTGAGTTGCAGATTCCATATCCAGCTGTTCAAATTAAATAAGAAGGAAAACTTGTAAAATTGTCTTAACTTAAAAATATGTCTTGGGCGTTGATCAACGAGCAGTTTCAATTTTCAGAAACCCTGGAAGTGACATCAATGAAATTGAAAAGGAATTACCGGTAATGGAAGTTCTAAATGGCAAACAATTTTAATGATTTTCCTCTCAACTACTAGAAAACCTAGGCGTAAATCGATCATCAATGAACACGTAGGATTCCCACCATTGTAAATATGAAAATTAAATATCACGAGTTAAAACTGAATCACACAAACCTCAAAAGAAATCCTATGATCCTATGTCGATGATCGAAAAGACGAAGTCGAAAACTGAAACTTTACATCGAAAGATCAAACTGAAAAATTCTCCTGAAAGAAATACACCTATTCACCTGGTCCCTTTTCACACCGACAATGGCTATAACCGCTGACTAGTCTTTCGCATTGTGTTCTGGGACAGCGTTTCCTTTGCTTCACCGGCTAGAATTTGGGGGGAAGTCAAAATGTAGCAAGGAATTATACCTATTTTTTTTTCAAATCCTGAAAATAAGGCGTAAAAAGGAACATTTACTTTGTAATTAACTATGGCACCACCAAAATCAAGGAAGATCGTCATCATGGGCTTTCGCTCTGTTGGTAAATTTTGTAGATGTGAAACGTGACTTTTGTTTTGCTAGAAACCTCTTCCCGGTTTATGATTTTCTCTCGATTTACATGGCCGTTGTTCACTTTTCAGGGAAATCTTCGATCACAATCCAGTTAGTGGAAGGGCAATTCGTGGATTCCTATGATCCAACAATTGAGAATAGTGAGTATGGTTCATCCATCTGTGTCTCAAAACGACCTTTAATATTCTTACAATCGAACGAGCTAAAGCAGGTTTCGCTTGAGTTGAACCATTCCTTTTATTTATTTTCTTTTGAAAGCTTTTACAACGAAAGTAAAGCATAACAGTCAAGAATACGTGTTGGAGCTTGTCGACACGGCAGGCCAGGTAAATATTATTGATAAAGCACTCTTGATTTCTCGTTGTTTTAGAGACAGTTATCCATTTGTTTTTTTTTTCATGTAAATCATGTGTACATCCAGCTATGCACGTATCATGCTTCCGTTTTTCCACAGGGTATAAATGTACCGTTAAAAGTTGTGAATATACGGTCTGCAGCTAATTAAAACCTAGCAACATAAATATCTAATATTTAGCTCGGCATCTTTCGCTTTCACGTTAAATTTTTAGCTAAGATTTTACATAATTTTGACTTCAAGTAGTTATTTATAGAGTTAGTAACCTTTCTGAAAATAAAAATATATTTATAGTTAAATATGTTTAGCTTGTGATAATGGCATGGTGCATTAGGTACTTAAACTCTGCCATTTCTCTCGAGTAAAACTCGACGGGGAAGAAAAAATGCCTGAAATTCGCGGCCAATTATTGGGAATTGTACTGATTCAAAATTACTACTCAAGAAAGTCAATCATGTATTACGAAGATCTAGAAACTTCGAGGAATTTTTTTTATACAACTTTCTTTTTCCAGAGTCACTTATTATATATTATTTAATTAAGACATGTATGTTAAAAGCTTAAGGATGACTGTTGGTGTTTATCCTGTTATGAACTTAAAAAAATTTAGTGGCAAAAAATTGTTCAAAAAATCGATAATTTGTCAGCGTTAATTGCAGAATTTTATTAGTATCATGTTACACCATTTTTCGAGGAGACAAACAGACCACTCCTCTATCTTGTTTTTGAACAAAATTTAAGAAAAACAAGAGTATAATATTACAACTTATTCTGTAGAGTTACACATGTATAGTGAAATTCAAGATGAGCAAAAAAAGTGATGGTTCTATTTTGTGGGATGAAAAAGCTTGGAAAGGACCAGACATATTAATTTAAAGAACAGATGACCATTTTTATTTAGGGTTTATCTTCAAATTGGAGCGATGATTGCAGTATTGCATAGTTGACATTCACTAATGGTTTATAACAATTTAAATTTTTGTTTTCACTCTTGATTGATTCAGGTGATTTATGTCAATTCTGTTTAAATTGTTCTCTTATATATGTGCTTACCATAATAAATTAACTCTTTCTGTTGCTCTTGAACAACCACCTTCCAGTTCTGGCAGCCAAATTAAGATTTAAGGTCACAGATGGCAACTTTGAAAATGGTTTATATAAAAGCATTGCAGTTAGCCAACCATGCAACCAGTTATATTTTAATTGAATCTCTAAGTGTTATAATCTGAATTTGAAATTTTTCTGCTTTAGTTTTTTCATTTATGCTGGAAGTGCTTCAATATATGACATAATTTTATCTATCTTGTCTCCAGGATGAGTATTCTATTTTCCCTCAGTCCTACTCAGTTGGAATTCATGGTTACGTGCTTGTATATGCTGTAACATCACCAAAAAGGTAGGTTTCTGAAAGGAAACTTCAAAGAGAATAAATGAAACAGATGAAACAGATATAGACAACATTAATAGATGTTTTTTGTAAGGAAATTAAAATAAAGCTAATTCTTTCATAGTACTAGCTTCAGCCTTTCTTTCCCAAGTGCTATTAATGAGACTGGCGGTTGAATTTACCATAAGGTCAAATTTCGTGGTTTTTTATTATGCAATTCTTTTTCCTTCCAGTTTTGAAGTTGTCAAGGTTATTCATGAAAAGCTACTGGATATGTCAGGCCAAGATTAGTAAGTAAAAATTGCAAAACAACTTAAAATTCATTTGATTTTACTTTCTGTAATGTGTTAAAGGTAACTAAAGGTTTGCTTGATGGGGTTTTGATTGATCCTGATCATGGTGCATCTAATAATGTGTTAACCCTTAAATCCTTAAGCGTGACCAACATCTCATTTCTCCTTAGACTTTCACCTCTAGATAAAACATTAGGGTTGTGTGAATTAAGTAAATGATCACCAACTAAAGAGACTCTTGGTTTTTTCAACCAACATCTTTGTCAGTATCATAAAAAATGTGTAGAAAACAGAATGGAGAATGTGCATACTGATGTTAAGGAGTAAAGAGGTAAGAGGTTAAGAGGCAAGGGTGTCAGGGAAGCCTGGCAAAATACTTGGGACTCATCTGCAATGGACTTGCATCCTATCTACTAGTGGTAGCACAGGGAGTGTGGTGCACATGACTGGCACACAAGGCTGTCGATATCTACCCATGGGCTTCCCTAACGTGTTAGAAATGCAAGATTAAATGAACCCTCAAACATAATTGCACAGATTGAATCAAAAACTCACTTTTGTGTACTTCTTTTTATTTCTTCCTAGTGTGCCAATGGTCCTTGTTGGAAACAAAACTGATTTACATATGGAAAGGTACAAATACATTTACAACTTGAATTTCAGGCTTGAGATCGTGCTAAACAGCAAAGCATAAAAGCCATTGAATGTTTTGTTAAATGCAGGGCCCAGATGTTTGACTTGGGCTAGCCCAGGGTTAAATTTGAATCCAGGTTTCTATATTTCTCTGTTCAAAATCTGTTTTGGGTTAATTTTCCTATTTCTTTTTAGAGCATTCATTTATCACATTGTAGACAAATGGAATCAAACTGAATATTCTTTTAGAGCTTTCAGATCTGAAATCAAATTCCATGCTAACCCAAGGTTATCTTAATCCAGCTTTGAACAACCTGGCCCTGATGTTCAAAACAGAATTTCTGACCAAACTGTTTTTAAAGTGTTTTTTAAACTAAACTTCTGTCCACTTTGAACTGAATCTTAGACCAAAGTGTTTTTAAACTAAACTTCTGTCCATGTTTTAGAAAAGTCCCAACTGAAAATGGAAAATCCCTTGCTGATTCCTGGAAGGCAGCTTTCTTTGAATCATCAGCTAAGGAAAACAGTGTAAGTGAAAGCCTCTAAACCTTACAATGGTTTCATATAAGTTTTGGAATTTTATATTATGCAAGGTGGAACACTTTGTAATATTTCAAGCAGTAGACTTGGAATCAAATTGTCCAGGTTGAAGCCAAACCAACTTGGTTATGTTCTGGTGTCAGAGAGTGAAGTCGAGATGTTTGCTTTCAAAACTGTCAGGCTTTACATGTCTTTTCCATAATGCAGGGAAAAAAACCTTTTACAAAGGGTCAGTTGTCTGTGGTGGTCTTCTTTGTCATTACCAGTTGTATACTGTAATTTGCAATACTCCCAGTTATAATATGGTTTTAAAATCTGGCAGGGCAGGCCTATTACAGGTAGTTTGCACACAGACTTTCAGTACTGTCTAGTAACTATTGACATTTAACTGTAGCTTCTTTTCTTACTTCACAGAGTGTCCATGAAATTTTCCAGATGGTCATACGGGAAATAGAAAAGCGTGACAAAGATGGGAATGTAGACAAGAAAGAGGATTGTACCATTTTATGACCACCGTCCCCACCCATACAGCAAGCTACCATGGAACCTAAATTATATTTTATGATATGAAAACTTTTCATTTCTACTCTACTCTATGCTGATCTAAGTAATTTATTTTCCCCTGTAGAACTGATTTTAATGAAATCTCTCCTAAATGATGAATATGATTTGTATCACCTGGGGCCATAAGAGTTAGTGAATGTGCATTGTAAATTTCTGGTTTCAGAATCTTCTACATCCCAGTTTAAAGTCATGTAAGCCCTCTGTGTGTTTTAAGAGTGGCAGTGTCTTGTTTTTTCTTGCTTCTTTCATTTGGCTTTTGCTGTTATCCTGGTAGCAGTGTTTAATGAACTCATTTCTAATTGTTAGATATAAAAGCATTTGCCTGTTCTTTTCTTTGGTTACCTAGTGAATGCCTTTGCATTTTTCTCGATTCTTTCTAAATACAACAATTATAATAACAATGGATGAGGAGTGGACTTCAGATCAGGACAATATATTTTTAACAACAATTACTTTAATATATGGCTGAACCTTGTTCAAAGAGATTGTGCAGTAGTTTAAATGCGCATTTGAAAATTTCATAGTCGAAACTGTGATTTCTTTTTGTGTGTGTGTATCAGGTCTGATCACAAAAGATGATTGTGTGTGTTTTTAACATTCTTTGATGGTCTGGTAGATTTGTCATGAATAATTGTCAAATCACATATACTCTATGCTGTTTAGGCTCACTGATTTTTAAACTTTTGTACATGCACCAAAGCTTACTACAAACTTTAGGCCTGAGTTGCGCAAAGCTATCAGCCACCATCTTTGGAAAGGAACCTGTGTTTCTCCCCTCTAAGTGTACAGCTACTCTTCTTGGGGAGGATAGCAAACTCCACCCTAAAGAACAGGTGCACTTAGGCCTATTGCAACCCAGGATTAGGGTAACATAGTTTAGGAACCACATAGTCCTCAATGTTTAATACCTTATTGACAAGTTGTAATGTGGTATGTGATCTTTGGTGCATAGGTTTGAGCAAAAAATTGTCAAAATAATAGTTTCTT